GGAGGAGCTTGTCTCACACCTTTTCCCCCCTCCTTCCCGCGTTCCCCTCCGTCACTCTTGTCCCTCTTCATTCCTTTTTCCTTTTTCCCCCTGGCCCCTCGTGATTCTTCCTTCCCTCCTCTGATTCGCTCCCTACCACGCCTTCGGAGACGTTGTCGTCCTCCTTTCTTTACCTTTGGAAGGGAAATTCGCCACCAGGACTTGAGTGAGGGGGTCCACCTCGTCGCCATGCGTGAGGGTGATGGAGGGATGGAGCAAGGATCGCAGGAGTCCGATATCGCTTTCCCGGACTGTAACGCCTTTCAAGGCGACATGCACATGTAAAGACGCCGGGGGCAGTGCCCGCGGGCGCTGTTTTTTTTCCTTGATGCGTCCCGACACGCGGTCGACCGTGCGTTGGAGAAATGTGGATATCGAAGGAAGGCGTAAGGCCAGGAGGACAAGGGGGATGGACACGACCAGAGTGCAGGAGCCCAGGAAGAGTAGTCGCGATGAGTAGGGAGGGAGGGCCTGCCGCATCAAGCGGACAAAAGGACAGGTACCCCGAGGGAAGCCCTGCGTATGACCTACGTGTACGTGGAAAGGTGCAATAGCAATGTGAAATTTCATGGGCAGAGTCCGAGTTGCTAATTACAACAAAATTGCGTGCGAAAAACGTCACGCCTTCAACTGACTGTCGATAGGGAGGATGGGAGCGTACATGTCCAAACACAAGAAAAAGGGAATCAAATCGACGACCCACCGCATGTAAGACTATTATGACACAGATATGTCGAATTTTAAGGACTTTTTGATTGCATGCTTTGTAACGACAGCATGGATCGTATCGTTGGAAGGAACTAAGATGGCAACGCGATAGGCCATTCCTCCTACCCCGCCTTCTTCCCTTTCCGTCCCTTTTTTGGAGGAATGACACGCATCTTGGCGCTGCAAGCGACTTTTTCTTGTGAGCAACTGACTTGAAGACCTGCTGCATCCTCGTTTGAGATATTGCAGGCAGTCTTTGTCTCCTTTCTCAAAGCTGCTTGCTACACTGTCGCTCATTTCACATTGGGGGTCAGGAGGTTAACGTTACATACCGGTGGCTGTGTACGAAATATGGTGGGGAAGACGGACGACTTCCTCCCGAACGTTCTATTTCTTAATTGCATGTTGTTATCTCAAGGTGTTCCCGCCGTGCATAGGGACAGGGTCTCACTACCCGCGATGTGGGAGCCGCTTTCTTCGCCTTCGTCAGGTCGAGAGGAGGGAGGCAGGAGCAGCAATGAGGAGACGGAGAGTGAGCAGGAGGAAGGGCTTCTAGCATCATCGCCTCCACCATGTTCAGGATTGGTCCATGTCACACGAGAGGGGACACGTGTTGGAGCCACAGGCATGACGAAGGCGCTACATAACCCTGGGGTCGCCGCAGATCAGGAGTCGGTGGGAAAACGAGTGGCAGAGGCAACGACGTCGAATATCGCTTCGACACTGGAAACATCCAAAGAAAACAGAGAGGTTGATACCGGGAAAGTAAGGAGACGCCAGCGGAAACAGAGCCAAGAAACAAAGGGGCCGCAGGAAGCTGTGGGTCCGGGCGGGAAGAAGAGCAACAAGCGCCCACGGCAAACCCAAAAAAACGAAACGGACAAAAGAGACGATGCACCTAGCTCCCCATACTTGGTAGATAACAGTAACATCACTACCGTCGAGGCCACGCATCGCGACCCAGACGTGGGGACGGATTGCCCCGCCGAGGCAGGGAAGCGAGGAGATATGTCAGTGCCCGCCACGACCAAAGCGCGCCCAAGAACTAAGCGCGACGGAGAGGTCCCGCTCCCCGGCGCCTATGGGAAGCTCTTTGATCTGTACACGGGTAGGGAGGGAGG